ATTACTATATATATATATATATATATATGTGTGTGTGTGTGTATATATATATATATATATACAATGTATATATATACAATTTGTATATTCTATACAAATATATTCTATACATTGTACTGACGCAGCATTATTTTCTTTATTGAAATCCAATTGTCCTCTAAATATTAAACCGTTTCTTCCTGATACAGCAAGTGGTTGAATGCTATGTTTTTCTCCTAATAAATCTGTTAATTCAAGTAATTAAAGAAAATATTAGTAGTATTATACATAAATTTATTCTTTTATAATATAATATATTTATAATATAATATTATTTACTTTTATAAGTACTTACGCTTCATATTTACAAGTCTTTCTTGCTCTGTCGGTCATTTTATTGTTACTAATAATATTTTTGTATGAACGTTCCAACGACTTAATTTTATTTTCCACTTGTAACGGGATTACAGGGTAATTACTATGACCCATTTCTTGTGCAATTTGTTTCCATAAAATTTTATAAGTTTTTATTTTCCTTGTGTTTCAAGATTTTTCTTAGATTTTTCTTAGATTTAGAAGTGTCTAAACAACAGTTTTGTTGATGCATCGTTCTAAAACCACGATGAAGTTGTATTTATAGCAGTTTTATTTTGATTATTTTGATCATTCTCATCATTTTGATCATTTTGATAATTTTGATCATTATGATCATTTTCATCATTTTGATCATTTTGAATATTTTCATCATTTTAATTTTGTGTATTATTACATATTTCTCTTCTTGTTTTAGAAAGGTTTACACAAATTTGAGTTCCATCAAGAATAAAGATTAAAATATCCAAAGAAAAATTTATATCTCTCTTCGGAAATTTTAACTGTTTTCCATTTAAGTAAAAAATGTAATTTAAGTAAAAAAAGATATATTTACTCACTTATAAAAATGTTAGCGCGCTTTTTTGTCATTCTATCCTTGTTTTACGTCTATTGTATATATAACGATAAAGATAGAACGATGAAAAAGTGCGCTAACATTTCTATAAGCGTACTCTGAGAGAATATGGACCATAATTTAAGGATATCAATTTATATAAGATGTTTTATTTAACTAGCCACTCAAAATAACTTGTTTTTTAAAGATATATAAAAACAGAAGAAGACTGAATTAAATTTGACATTCTGTACATCATTATATAGCACAGTTATAGAAATAATTCGTTAAAAATACTTGTAATACCTTCAATTACGCATTCATTTGAATCCACTTTTATTTTTCCAAAAGTGTCCAGCTGTAAAAAGCCACGTAATTGCACAATATCGGCTGCCATTTTAATATTACTTTTTTATAAATATATAATAATTTTGAAAACAAATGTTATAAAAAGTTACGTATAAAAAAATGTGTATACACTTATTCGTTAAACAACTAGTTTGGATTTCGCGATGGAGTAAAAAATTCGCACGAAAGAAATACTCACTGAATTGCACGCAAGTCAATAATTTATTATACACTTAATACGGTTCACAAGAAAAAATCGTAATATATACGAATCGAACTAATTACACTAAATTACGAACTAATAACACTTAAATTTGCAAACGGGAAGCGATCGCGATGAACGATTTTGCGCAAATAACGATAATTCTTTACGAGGCAAGCAATCTCGTAAAACACTGCGATTTAATGCCTTTGAGAGCAAGCAACTCTACGAATTTTGATTAATGCCGGTACTAATTCTGCTTTGTTGATAAGCTCAGACAGACGCTGCGGGTTGTCTCAGCACTCTTTTTATACCGCAAAAGTTCTAGATTGTTCCTTTCGCAACGACTCCGGAACTTGCATCAAGAAAAGAACTTGCATCTAAAATTATAATTTTCGTTAAATTAAATAATTGTTATTGTTTATAAGTCAAGAAGAGCTGCTGTCAAGCGCTAATTGGCTTCCTGACTTCGAATCTGCCGATTCGATAGCAGCGCGAGAGCACGTATACTCGCGCGCAAATTGACGCGCGTTGCTCTTTTCAATCTTCAGTCATCCTTGCACTTTTTACTTCTTCTTAAGACGAAGTGTTGCCAGAAATGTAACTGCACTGGCAAAACGAACAGCGGTTTTTACATCATGTCCGGTAACAAAAACAAATTAGTGTACACTTAGTGTAAAAATACAAAAAGTGCATGCAACACGAACAAACCTATTGTTTTTAAAATTTGTCTACAAAATTAAATTTTAATTTAAATTTTTTATCGAAATTTAGCAAAAATTTCAAAATCTTCAGATTGACAGACAATTCAAGATTACAGATAATTCATAATGTTAATCTCTTAGTTACGGCTGGACTTTTCACGACACTGTATTTCTGTACGGCACGGTTTGACGCGGATTACACGTAAATAATGTAGTACTGCGATGCGTTTAGTGTGGACGTTTTCCACTATGAAATTACATCAGACTAGAATTATATGAATAAATTATAATTTATTTATACATTTTCATATAAAAGATTTAAAAAAAATATAAAAAAGATAACACACACAACGCGAAAGCTATTTATTATAGTGGCGTACCGTTCAAAAAGATGACATACGCGAAAGCCACTATAGTGACGTTCAGTAGAGATTAACTACTGTTCGTGGAACTTGCAAACGCTAACGCTATCAAACGCTACCCATGCATTATCTCAAAAGCAATAGCATTGATAGTGCGAAATTAGAGAGTTTTTGCAATACCGTTTTCAGGTAAACGCTAAAGTCACGTGACTTAATACCGTATTCCGTTTTTACATGCTCTAACAAAAAGAGTTTTTGTGCAATGGACGCTACGATGACGTATATAGTGAAACGGTATAATATAGATGGAGGATTTATTAGACGTTACTATTTTCGTATTTTTTTTTTATTGTTTTCGATTTTTTTCAGCAAACTAATTTTTTCAATCGCTGGTCTTATACGCTCTGCAACCGTTTTCTTTTTCTTTTTCTTCATATGGATTTTGAGATATAACCTCTCTTAAAAGTATGAAGTCATCTCCACTCATGAACCGCAGTCACTTAGATTTCGTTGTCGTGGTCATAACGTCGACGCAATCGTAAACCTTATTCGCTCTGAAATAACATCACACGTTATTTGGATAGCGTTATGGTGAATGATGCGCATGCGCAGTTTCATTTTTGTCCTCTACAACATGATTTTAGCGTTCACCGTATCAGAAAAATGATATTGTAAAAACTCTCTAATATGACGTAAAAACACTACGCGATATCACGATAGTGTTTGATAGCGCTATCAGATAGCTCTCCGAACAGCAGTGCTAAATAGCGCTAATAGCGAGCTTCTCGAACGCACCCTTAAAGAGATCTTTTCTAAGACATATGTTCCGTAACCTCAATCTGTCATCAATATAACCTCTAAAAGTTCTAAATGACAATTTCAAACATAGTTACTTATATTAACGACTGCAACATTTATCGAGAAGCGACTACATATTTATTGATTGGAATAAATAACATGATCAATTTCAATATAATGTAACTTATACAAATATTGGCAGTCAGTTTATCTAGTACTCCCATATTTTATATTATT